CATGTACTATCGTAATGCAAATAAGCATTTACATATCCAGAACAGTTTTGGTTTTTTTTTTTTCTCCCTCATCTACAGAGATCTTCAGAGACAACTAGAAATTATCAGCATGGATGCATGCATTAGTAAGAGTTTGGCCTGGCTCAGGACAAAGCCAAATGTTTTAAGTTACATGTGTAGGACACTACATGGCTTCTGAATGTGATCGGCAAGATAGCAGCAAAACCTGCAACGCAACTACTCTGGCCTAGAAAATTTTATTTCTTGAGTGAACATTAGAACAGATCAACCATTTTGTGCTCCAACAGAGAAATAAAACACATTTTAGGAGTAGCACAGAATCTGAACAGAGGTATACAAAAAGTAGGCAAGTATTTCCATTTAGAAACATACTGCCTGCTCAGTGTTTCTAGACAACAATTCTGTCAGATCATCAGTTTCCCTGGTTCAATACCCCACCTTATAACAGACAGTATGAGCTGTGCCACTATGCTGGTGGTTGTTTTTTCTGTTTTTGTTTTGTTCTTTTAAGACCAAAAAAAACCTACAGCTTCTTTCCTAAACTTAAATGATTGCTATCCAGCTGCTGTATACTATAGTAAAAGATGAAAATTCTCACCTTCAAAAAGAAAGACTCGCTAGAAACAGTAATTTCTAGGAGATTACAGGCAGTGCTGTCCTGTGAACCACAGCCAGTCCCACCTTTCCCAATCTCTATTTAGGCCACAAAATGATCTTATTCTTTGCAGGGGATGTAACAGTGCACAAGCATATCAGCTTGGGGAAAAAAAGCCCCACAAAACCAAAACCACCACCAACAAAAGACAAACACACACACAGAAAAACAACAACAAAAAAACCCACCCAAATAAACAAACAAATAAACAAAACCAAAACACCTGCACATAAAAAGAGATTTAAACTTTTCTTCTTGGGCAAATAGTTGCAGTTCAAATTTATCCCTAGGAGTAGCCAGGTTAGGCAGCATCTTTGTCTGGCAAGCCCACAGAAGGTAAGCTTCTCTGAAAGGAATTGTACAAAATGCCCAAATCATTCATCTTTAAGAAGAGGTCAGAAATACAGCCATCAAGATTTGCTTAAAAACTGTTAACCTAACCCTTTGGGCAGGATGATGGTCCAGAGAATCTCTTATGTAACATATAGTTCTTTTTACACCCTCCATTTGTAGGTCATCACTTCATCATCAACTTCAAAGCCATCCAGCAACTCTACAAGGTGTCTTGAGTCAATTCATTTTTAAACTTTGCTTCATCTATCTGAGCCATAAAACCAGATTTTCTGTCCTGTGACTGTTGAATTTCTAAGATACTGGTATTTTACCAGTAAATCATTTACTTAAATCTTTACTGCTCATCAGCTTTTATGAGCAATACCAGATATTCACAGAAATGAGCTGCTGATGATGTTCTGGCATTATGAACCGAACCCACTACAATTTCATTTATCATGTGTGTAGGAGACAGGAGTATTTAGCTATACACTCCACCTCAGTCTGCCCATCCAGCAGCTTAGTTTTAACCTTTTACTCTTTTTAGTGTTGAGGAATTTCAGCAAGATATTTAAAGTAATATTAACAGCCTATCACAAGCCTGTCCACGAACTACATCTCTTACATACATATTTTGAAAGGTGTTTCCTCTTTCTCACAAATCCCAAGGACCCATGTAACATTAGTTCAATTTTTCAGCTCTTGTCGTGATAATTTGTAAGAATAATCACATGTAACAACCTGATCACCCTTCAAGAAAACTATTTCAGTCTATATTACACTGCATTTCTAACAGGTAAAGGTGCAGAAGAACTATCTGCAGTTATCATAGTTACAGATGGGTGAACAAAATGTTCCTGCATTTATATAGAATGGCTTTCACATAAAGAAGCCGGTTTTCAAACCTCAGCACAGTTAGAACATAAAAGGGAAAAAATAACTTTACTGCTTAAATCTGCAGTCAGGATAAATAAGAAGCAACTCCTTCCCTTTACTATATAATAAATGTAATATATCAGAGATTGGAAAGAAGCATCCTTTCCTGTTAAAAGCTTCCCCTAAATTAAGGCTATCTAGAAGTTTAGCAGCTAACCCCAAAAAACAATTCCCTAGCAGAGGAAAGAGTAATGCTCTAAGAGGTGGTAAACCACAGCACTACCAAACGCAATCCCCCACTGCCACACTTTTTGGCAGGAGGTGAGGAGGGTGGTGGTGTATAATCTATTCAGACACTGAACTGACCTATGTAATCTAACCAGTTCAAGATGCTATAAAGTGGAGGGGGGGCATACTTCATGCTCTGGAAGTTTCCATAGGTCACTGAACCTATTACAATGATTTCTTATCTTCCGTCACTCAAAACCCCGTTTGGTTGGAAAAAATCTATCTGTATCCAGGAGGTGGGTGTGTGTGTATATGTCACACGGGAGCAAAGCGTGACATGCACCAGCACATGGGCTAAGAATAATAAAATTAGTAAGGAATCCAGAATTTGCTGTCATCCAACAATTACAGGTAACACTATTCAGCACTGTTGTATCACAGAGGCAAGCATCTTCATACATACATATTGCCTTGCCATCCCCTCAATCATCCATCCACTGCTGAAGTGCTGCTAAACAACTGAATAAACCAGGGCTAGAAGTGAACCAGCCACATTACCCTTTCAGTATCTAATATGCCAGCTGACACAGCCTACAGCTGCTACTGCAAAAAAAGCTAGTTTTATGCATTGTTCATGCCTACCCTTCTCTACATCAGTAAAGCACCACCACTTGCAGTAATTAATGAAAATTATCATCATTATGATACATAGAAAAATTTACTTGTGGCAATTTTAATTTCAGATTTCCCTCCCTCCCAGCATTTTGTAATTCCAAGTGTTTTCTTTCTGTAAGAAAATTTTTCATTACATATGCTCGCAAAAAAGACAGCAAAAACATACTAACAGAATGAGCATGAAATGTGGTTTTGCATGAGATCATATACTACAAAACGTAAGGGGTTTTTCGTAACGAATAAACTGGAACAGTCAACAATATGACACAAACCAAAATACAAGTAACAGACATGATCTAAACAGAATTATACTGGAACATGTTTGTTTAATTTCCAAAAATTCAGTTTATGCTTAAATCAGTCAGCCTTCACCTCCTACAAGTATTCCAAAACAGGTGAGTGAAACCCAGTGGGAGGTGGCTGATCACTTCATTAATAGACAACAAATCAACTACAATTACATTTTTCAAGCTTTGACTATTTAAGCAGAATAGTATGTGCTTCTCATTTTGGGGGAAAGCAGGGGGAAGGGAACAGGGGGACCTCTGGCAAGAATGCTAACCTTATGAATTCTTCCTCTGGAATTTTAATTGGTAAATCTATAAGTAAAAACGTACCCAGCTGCAGGGAGCTGCTCCCCAGCCCAACCACAATCACAGACCCTCAGAGCTGACTGCTCAAGCCTGAAAACAGAGCCTTTTCCTTAGGTGGTGTCCAGCCACACCTGAACTAAGAAGGGCACTCTGACAGCAGAAGTTGGGTTATGCTCTTCCTGACTTGCAAAGGCATAGTGCCTCTAGAAGACATGCTTATCTCAAAATCTGTTCTTTTTATTGCTTCTCTTATTAGACATTTCCTACTCATTTTTGCAATAAATTTAGCTACACAAGAACCTTGAGCTCTATTTTTATATACAGCATTGTTCAAAGAGCTTCCGAACATTGTATTAGGAAAGAGAGAAAGGCCTTTGAACAATTGAGACAAGCTTCAGGAGAAATCTAACCTCAACTCCAGCAAGTTTCTTTTTTCCTTTTTGGAAAAATCTTCACGTGGGCAATCATGAGAAATGAAAGCAAGGGATTTAAAAATAAGAAAACGAGTGTTTCATGCATCAGAACCAATAGAGAAGAGCATACTCTTGATGACACCTTTTAAGCTACTGCCAAGGCTCTTTCTAAACACATCTTTTAGAAGTTACAGCTCAGAAAGCAATAATAAAGCTCACAACACAGCAGATCTGGAACATAAGTTACAGTTTCCACATAATATATCCACTCTTTATTGATGAACACACAAGGTTTATAATATATTACAGGCACATCTCTTCCTCATCTGACTTGGCAGGCAGTTTTCACAGTAACAGTTAATGTACCAAGGCCAGGTTGGACGAGGCTTTGAACAACCTGGTCTAGTGGAAAGTGCCCCTGCCCGTGGCATGGGAGTTAGAACTAAATGATCTTTAAGGTCCCTTCCAACCCAAAGCATTCTATGCTATTTAAACATAACTGAAAGAACCGTTTTTATATGCACTCACATGGTAGCTTGGTTTCTTTAGTGTTTCTGCGATCACACTATATTCAAGAGCCTAGTAAAAACCAAAATCCTGAATATTGAGATTGACACATGTATCACTATATTTCTACCTTGAATAATGCCTCTGAACTATATTACTTTTTTTTTTTTCTAAATACTTAAGAAGATACTAAGTAACAGGCACGTGGGAAGCTGTATCTAGTTTTAACCTGCAGAAAGCAAGCGATTCTGCCTAGCTCGTGATTTAAACTCACTCCAGCTTCCACATCCGAAAAACACCAGCTAAGCAACCGGTGAGGAGCTGCCGCTCCAGCACTCCTCTCCCGGGGGAAGCAGCACCAGCCTCTCCCTGCTCCCAGGAAACGTTTCGCTCCCCACAGTCTGCACCTGAGCACCGAGACCCGCGCTCCCACCTTCCCGGGACAGGAGCTCACCGCGACAAGGAAGTCGTGGCCACACGTGTCGCGGTGACTTTTATCCGGACGGGGACCCGAGAAATGCCAGGGAAACTTCCCCCTCCACGAAAAGGGGGGAAAGGCGTAAGCCACGGAATCCCCGATACCCTCCCTCCCCTATAAATGCGCTCGCCTCGCAGCCCGCGATTAACCGGGAGCGCACGGCCATAGCACAGACCCGATCCCACCTCCCCTTGGAGCGGGCCGAGTCGCTCCTCACTCACCGGTGCCGGGCGGAGCGGCGCTTCCTGATGATAGGAGTCTCCTGCGAGCCCCGCCGAGAGCCCCAGCCAAGGAGCGGCCGTGCTACCGAGGCGGCGGGTAGGGTAGGGTAGAGCAGGGCAGGGGGCGGCACAGTCGGGCTCCGGTAGAGCCCCGCAACCCGCCTCCACTCCAGTCGACGGCGGCAAAAAGAAGGGAACCGACAGTACAAGAACAGAGCAACACTGCGCGCCCGCCACAGCCGCACGCCGCTCTTATAGAGACCCGCCAATTAAGGGCGGCCAATCGCCGGTCTGCAGCCACGTGACGGGGCAGTTCCAATTACCGCGGAGAATTTTCTGAATTAGCGGGGTTACACAAAGGACACTCATTGAGGGGGAAGGAAAAAAGGGCAGCGAGCGGGAGCGGGAACGCCCAGCCGGAGCCTGCTGGTGATTTAAAGCAGGAAACTCCCTCGCCTCACACAGACACGGCTGCATTCAGCACCGGCCAGCATCTCCGCGGGAGGAATGTCTGGCGCACATCGCGCTAATCTGCGCTCGCCCCCAAGGTTGCGTTTGCGCGGCTATGGCCTCGCTCGCTTACCCCCGCGGAGGGTGTGTGTGGCACAGCGAGAAGCAGCGCCTCGCCACCGAAAGAACCCCCGTTTCTTAAATACATACAAGTAGTTGTTCAAGCAGAAGCTGGAAGCGGCTTGCAAAGCAAAGGCCGGTGGTGAGAGGTGTGCCGGCACCGCTCTAAAAAACTTTTGCGTGCAGTGGATCACGCAAGTCAAGGAGAAGGGGAATTACTGAAAGGCCCTGAACAATCTGCAATTACCAGCTCTCTGTGCGAGGAAAGACTCCTGAAAGAAAAATGTGCCTATGCAAACTAACACTGAACGTCTGTATCTTGAGGAGCTGCTGCAAGAAGAAGTGAAGAGTATGTAAGAAACAGACCCTCACTTAAAAGCAATATTGAAAGCCTCACCTTTCCACAAACCCTCCAGGAACACAAGCCAACACCTCCAAGTACCTTCAAGCGCCTGCCTGAGACATGCCACCGAGCCACCCTTCATCTCCATTTTCCTACCCTAAAGAAACACACAAGGCCACGAACACCCCAAAGGCGCAGCAAACGCCATCTGAGGCACAACCGGAACAACGGCAAGGCTGCCTGCCACCGACAAGCCTTGCCAATCCCAATTTATGGGCAGGAAACATATGCCAGGACAAACCAGTCGAGATGACTCAAATTGCCTCTCCCCCACCCTCCTGTTCCACAGAACAACAGCCCTCTTTAGCAACGGGGAGTAGGACCTCTCGGAGCAATGACTCAAAGCTGCTCTCAGGGGTAGGGGGAAAAAAAAACCCAACAGAACAGAAAACACCCAATCTCCTCCTCCCCCCTTTTCATATTACATTAATCAAACACACAACAACTGTCTTGAGATACTAAATGAAATAAAGACAAAGAAATCTAGTTTTACCGCAAGATAAGTTTACTGAGGTCAAACCCAAGGGAAAACTAATCTAACCACATTTTCAAATTGTTTGGAATATTCCACAGCCCAATGAAACCATAAAATGACAATAACATCCTATCCTAGAATAGCATGGGGATAACAAAAAATGTTATGTTTAATTAAAGGCAGATGACCTAATAAAAAATTCACACACTGTGTACATATATAGCTCAGTATTGGCTTTTCATCTGTCACAATTTTTCTTAAAGAAAATGATCGTAGGTCTTAACCTTTAGGTGGTGTTTGTTATCTTTGATTAAAGATATCAGAATATTTCAAAAATTTAGTCTTTATGCTGTCATGAGCAATCTTGAGGGGCAGTGAATAAATCTCTCTCAAAATGGCCATGGGTTTTCTGTTAACATAAAAAATGGGAGATGAGCTGCCCACTCTTCCTGGAAGTTTAATGATAGATAACAACTGAAGAAGAGACTGGGACAACAGCTGTAGCGGAAGAAATTAGGGACTGGAAAGCAAACCAGCCAACACTCCTCTGTTGATTTTTTGAACCTGAGTGTATTTCCATCTTGAAAAAAAGCTGCAGCTTCCCCTCAGCTCTTGCAACTGGGAAGTTGCTCCAGAAGTAGCTTCTGATGGTTTAGACCTTTTTTTTCAAAATTTCCATCTTAAACTTATTCGGGGCCAGCTGTTGGCACAACATCAAACGATCAGCATTGTCCTCCCTTTGCTAAAATGGCAGTTTTCCTTTTCCTGTGCTATACCACAAATGCCCCCGTTCTTCCATCCTGCAGCTTGTTGGTAGATAGCAGTCATATCTGACTCTGATGAGATATTTAAGCCCAATGATTTTATCATGCTTCATCTCTGAGTTCTTCCTAAAGCATTTATCATGAGGTTCCTCATGAAAATAATTTAGATTAAAATAATCAAATTATTTTACTCTTCTTCTTGAGTGCAAACCATGACTCAGATGAGCCAAACACAAAATATTCTGAAATATTCTATGTATAGCATTTGTGTGAATTTGGGTGGCTGAAGCCAGCCATATAACTTAAGTACTCCATAATGGAAAAACTGATTAACCATTGTAAATACCTCAGAAGTACATTTTATGGTAAATCCTCATAATATCCCTGTGAAATGGTAGACTTGGGTCTCCTTTAGTAAATGAGAAAAGACAGGCCAGGAATACTTAAAACATCTTGACTAACATCACAGAAGTTTCCATCACAAACGAAGTTGCACCTAAGGAGCTCTTGGCTCCTCATCCCACACCACATCTCCTGGAGCACGCTGTGCTTCTGATTCCAGCCTAATGCCGAGCTGGATGATCTGCAGTCGCCTTCTACGTGGCTAAAACATAACATTCAAAAACGACAGCAGCTGGTGCCTCATGGGAGAAGATGTGCTTTCACTGTGGACCTCATTGCTAAGAAAGACTTTTTTGGTTGTGTATTTTATGGTGATTAGTATCTTAGCTTTTATTAGGGGGATCAGAGTCAGAAGCTGAGACTTTTGTTCTACTGCAGAAAAGGAACACAGAAAGGTGCACCACTGAATTGCTGGCAGCGATGTTCTAATTTCAGAACTTGGCTACACAAACACGACTGAAGTTCAGCTGGATTCTGTCTGTTGTGCTTTCTGGGAGAAGGGTACTTCATTTTAACACAGAAACTCAATTAGAGCAGGAAGGGAGAGAACAAGGAATGTTGAAAGGGACGGAACTGTTCTCTCCATCCTACTCCATGCACCCTCACAGACAAAAGCACCCACCTATTCTCCTGTTTCTCTCTGTCGACTGTTTCCTCAGGAGACTTGTTTTAGTTCATTGTTCCAGCAGAGCCTGTTTCCTGCGACATTTAGCAACTCTCCTCTCCCAGCAGGGAAGTTTAACTATTTTTCCCTTTTGACTTTCTCACCTTTCTGTCTTGGTCCAAATGCAATGGGTAAATTGCCTGATTCCTTTTAAGATGCTCATCACTGGTATCGGTCACAGGGGCTATTCAGTTGATGCCACAGGCAAGAGAGTCTGATCCAGTTGAGGTTTCAGCACACCACAGTGCTGCCAAAGGCCACTCTTGTTCCCTAGGGAGTTAGACAGCCCAAGTTAGACAGTTCCCATCTTCCCATCTTGCACAAAGCAATGATGCAGGAGAGGGAGACAGAAAGTCCACAAACAGACCACTGTTTCCCACTGGCCAAGTTTATTCATGACAGTACTTTGTGACCAGGACTCAAAATATGGGAGTCAACTCAGGACTGGGGAAAAAAGCAGATGCTCATCCTTCACACTTCCCTGAGGAAGGGAGTGAGTTCCACAGTAAACTGTCACCACCCTTAATGCTAACTGCACTGAAGGCCCACCTCTGCCAGAGGGGAAGAGCCCAGCCCACAGGGAAGCACCCAGCATCACTGGGATGTCAGAACTAGATACAGTGTCACAGACCAAGGATGTGCATATATCCATAGTTTTCTTGTAGTACCTGTACAAGCAGAGGATCTTAGGGAGAGAAGGAAGAAATTAATTTCCTCTTTTCTCCTCTATAGATCCTCTTCCTTTCCTTGGGATAACTCATTCCTTTACTGAAAAAGTAAAGCTTGTAAATACACAGCTTATGAAACATGCATCATTTAACTAAAAAGTTAGTAAGTTAATCTTTTTTGGGTAAACAAGTGATCTAGGCTCTGAGACATCCCTTCTTTTTTCAAACCCCCTTTGATATCTGCTCCTTTTTTAGGACAAGTGGAGGGGCTGCATTAGCACTATTGGCTGAAAATACACTTTCCCACCAATTTAGACAAGTTGTGGTACCTACTGTGACTGATTCATAGCATCAGTGTGCAGGAAAACCTCCGTGCTCAGTGTTACACACATAAATACATGTTAACTTTCATAGGTACTGAACTACTTCTGATGTCCATGGGGATAGTTGGAATGCATCACCTCTACATACCAGATCTCCATAAATATCTCTTTTTTCATGCATAAAACATCTCCTTTAAACATTTCTAGTGACTGATCACAGAACTTGAGCTGTGTTCAACTTTCAGCTCTTAGGAGCCATGGATCTTCACATACAATGGTGAGTAGAACGGTAACATTCATACTTCCAGCACTTAGGAAAGACAAAAGATTGTCACCACCCATACAAAAAGGTATCTGACACAAGTTGTAGGAAACAGGATACACTGCTATACATTTGTATAGAGAAAGCAGCACAACTTTTCTTTTTTTCTTGGGGAATTTGTTAAGGTCTAAAAATGAGATCATTATGACTAATTCAGAAAAGACAAAAAGTAATATTAAGATAAGCTCTTCTGGTACTTCATTTCAACCAGAATCCCCTCTCCTACCCCCCCCCCCCCCCCCCCCCCCCCCCGCCATGCAGTTTCCATAAATTTTTCTCCTTTTTTTAAGACAGGCTCACAAATACAAGTATTTAAGCAATTTTAGCATTGCTCACTGTAGCTTTGCTCATCTGCTAAAAGCAAGCACATCTCAAGACTTTAGCAGTACTGTTGTCTGCTAAAGTAACATGAAAAACAAGAGTACTGTTGCTGCCTCCATAATACTTGTGAAAAGGAAGTCTTATTAGACTCGTATCAACCTAAGTAATACAGCAGCTCAAAGAAGGATTTCGTTTG